TGTCTCTGTTAATTGTTATTTTGTATCTTTGTTGTTTAGTTTAATTTGTTTAAAGATAGGGCATATTTCACTTTACCAGGGCCCCAGTGACTTGTAACAGGCTGAGCTCATAATAGGGATTACAGGAACTTCCCAACAGCTGCCAAGAATTCTTATTCCCGGGGACCTTCCTGCTCTCCCTCTCAAGACATCAGCCACTAAACACTCTAAAACTAGTATTAATTCTCATCTGTCTGTAATGTAACTTGGTTACTAATTAATGTTCTTTACTTACTTTCTTGTCCTTGGGGGACTTAGTTTGCACTCCACCGTTTTATGAATATAGGGAATCCTCGGTCTCTACTGTTTAGGCTTTATGCCACTCAAAACTCATATGCTATTTTGGGTTACTCTATAATAATAAAAGGGTAATATGCTAATTAGACTGGATGCCTTCCAAACATCATTCCCGACATCCTCCCTGATGAAGCCGGGACCAGAGGGAAGCCAGCCCAAGTCCCAGGTGCCTGTGGGCGACCCAAGGGAAGCCAGCCTGTGTCCCTGGTGCCTGCCAACAGCCAGAGGAGAGAAGCCCGAGTCCCAGGTGCCAGAGGGAAGCCCGTGCTGGCAGCTGGGGGAAGGAAGGCCTACTCTTGCAGAATTTTCGTGCATCGGGCCTCTAGTAGAAAATAAGATTCTAAGGCTAATGTCCCAGTCCACCCTTTTGTAAGTACGCACTCATTCATTTATTGTAGGGGTTTTTTATTTCTGTTTTTAAAATCTCTTCTTATATACAAAATTTCATGTTATTAGTCTACTCAAAAAGAGAAAAATATAGGAAATAATTATTTAAACTCCCCAAGTATTTATCCTAGAGGGCTAGGGCTACAAAAGTATCCTTGAATAGGCTGCAGAAGCGGCAGCAGTGGGGTTGGTGCAGGGCACGCTCTTTGTAAAGAAAAAAATTGTACTTTTGCACTGACGCCGTTAAAGGCCCAGGAGTTACTGCCATCCTGGAAACAAACCCCAGGACCTGCTATCTCCCCACATACACATCCACCCTTTCTGCGGCCTCCTAAGAGTTGTCAAGGTCATGTTATCTCTATTATGTCTTTTAAGAATATGAGTATATTTTCCATTGGAAAATAGCCTATTTCTAAAAGTTAAGGGGAAAAAAGGGGCTTTTCCTGTATTTGCTTAATAAGCAAAAATTTTATATATATTATTAAAATAATTATGTTAATCAGAAAGTTAATTAATTTAAATTAATAAATTAGTTAATACTGTTTAATAATAATAATACATAATCTTTTAGTTTAGTTTATTTGAGTACCTTCAAGGGTTTAAATTTTAAAATTTACTTTCTCATGAAGGAAATTTTATATTTAAGGTATATGGGAAACTGTCAAATAAAGAAATGATAATTATATTCAATTTATATGTGCATATTAAATAGTTTCTAATATGCTTTCATTTGTAACTAATTATTATAAGTTATAATATTGTGGAATATTATGTTTTACAGAAAGGACAAGATTCCATATTATTTACATTACTCTATAAAGTACAGTGGGGCCTTGACTTACGAGTTTAATTTGTTCCATGATGGAGCTCGTAACTCAAATTACTCGTATGTCAAATCAAAAGTGAACGAGTGAGACATGTGATGCTGGGCTGATGTTGTGGCATTCACTGTGACGTTCGCTGCGCCAACTAGCAGTGGGGTATCTGAAGCTGGCTCGTAACCTGAATTTTAGCTCACAACTCAAAGCAAAAAATTGCCCAAAAGGAGACATATGTAATAATACTCTTTGTAATACTTTAAGCGATAAAACAAACAAAAAAAATCGGCCGAAAGACGGCTAGTATCTCGAAAAACTCGTTAGTCGGGACATTCTTAAGTCAAGGCCCCACTGTATCTGAATTTATAGAAATACTAGCAGGAAAAATTGGAAGAAACAACAATTTTTTATAGTGCTAAATAAATAAAAAATAATTTTATTGTTTTTGTAACTTTTGTTAAATGTGTTGCTGATTCTTAAACTTTTGGTTTTTTAGATATAAGAAAGCAGTTTTAAAGCAAGTTGGTAAATTATATATTTCTCTCCCTACCTGTCCCTTCAAAATTTAGCAATTCTGAATAAGTAGCAATACATTTCTTTACATAAATTCAGTAAGACCTATTTCCAATTATAGCTATATCAACCAAAATAAAAACTAACAATAGGCCTGCTTATAGCACCATGCCTTTACCACCTTTTACAGGACTTAGTCCACCCAGCATTCCATGGGAATCCCTTACAATCCACAGGGGGAAGGCCACTATTAAGCATGCCCATTCAACATTAAAAAACATGCTAGTAAAACAAAACAGGGGGAATATGGGACTCAAGGACCCAATGAATTATTAACATGGGGGAGAGGATATGCGTGTGTTTCTACCCCACAGGGCCGCTGTGGATTCCAGCTCATTGAATTGAACTCTATCATGGCATGGCACGGTGACTGCCAGAACTCCTCCAGTTAATATAGTATAACTTTTACTAATGATCTTTCTGACAATAGCCTGATTTGCACCACTCACGCTTATGTCTTTGTTATAGGCCCTGATCTACTACTAATAAGCCATAGTTCATCTTTTCTAGTACGGGTTGGAGAAGGAATTTATTCTGCATCTTGTATTACCACCCAGAATATTACTTCATTGAACATCAGAACTATTATGGTACTTAGGAGGCAAGCAGAAATTCTGATACCTGTTAATCTCACCAGGAAATGGCAAGACTCATCAGCTATCGAAGTCTTAGGAAGAGCATTGAGCCAATTATGGCCCAAAAGATTGTTTTGGAAATACTCACTGCAGCCATTATCTGGGCTGTTATTATTCTTACTACTGCCAATGTCGCTGTGGTGGTCCTTCCTGAGTCTGTGCAGATGGTCACATTTATAGACAATACGGCCTATAATTTAACTAGGGAATTCACTATACAACAGCACATAGATAAAAAATATTAGACTATGGTCAATAGAGGCAGCCATTGAATATCTGGGGGAAAGACAGGGTGCTATAGCATACAGGAAAGTGCCTAATTGTGATTAGGAGCATAAGCACGTATGTGTCACCCTTTAAAATGGAACAGTAGTCACTATCATTGCCTTCATTTGCATTGATTGAAAATATTTTGACCTCTCATTCCAACTTTTTCCACTCTTTTTATTTTAGAACTATATACTCTATTTTATTGGTTATCCTGGAAATTTTAACATATATATTTTAACATAATGTCTAAAAATACACAATACCTCTACTTACCCTAGAATATAAGGACCTTACACATGGTGACTTATTTTTGTGTGTGTGTAAAAATTTCACTTTTATTCTCCTAAGTAGACACAAGTTCTATGGCATTTTATCTTTCTTTCCTTTTTTAATATATCTTTATTGATTTGAGAGAGGAAGGGAGAAGTAGAGAGGAGAGATAGAAACATCAATGATGAGAGAGAATCTTTGATCGGCTGCCCCCTGCACGCTCCCTACTGGGGATTGAGCCCACAACCCAGGCATATGCCCTGACTGGGAATCGAACTGGTGAGCTCTTGGTTCCTGGCTCGATGCCAGACTGGCCAGGCCCTATAGCATTTTAAATGAAATTTTCAGACCAGAGGGTTAGCATGGAATCCGGCTCTCAAATTTTGGCAGGGCAGATATGGGGCATGGAATTCCTATGGGAGGGTTGGTTCCCCTCCCCGCCTTCTTAAGAGCCGAAGCTGCAATGAGCCAGGCTCTTCCTGCAGGATGAGCTTTTTTTTTTTTTAATTCATCCAGGAGGATGCTGCCCTTCACAAATTCCAGATTTACCCAGGGTCCTCCATCTGATCTCCCACCCTCTCTTGTGGCTTTGACTTATTTCCTATACTTTTTTTTATTCCTCACCTGAGGACATGTTTTTATTAATTTGGAGAGAGAGAGATCGAGAAAGAGAGAGAGAAAGAGAAACATAAATGTGAGAAATATTGATCAGTTGCCCCCCCATATGCGCCCTGACCAAGGGATTGAATGCGCAACCCAGGAATATGCCCTGACTGGGAATCACAACCTTTTGGTGCATGGGACCATGCTCCAACTAACTGAGCTATCTGGCCAGGGCCCTACACATTTTAATTAACCAGAAATATTAATACGTTTTCTATTCTCCAAGCTTTCTGATTAATAGTGCAGTGACTAAGAATGTAGTTTTGGAATTTTGAGTGTTTGGGGTTCAAACCAAAATTCTACTACTTACTTTGTGTGGCTTTGGGCAAATTAATAAAAGTCTATGTACCTTGATTTCCTCACATGCAAAGGGAGGGGCAGCGATAGCACCTGCCCTACAGGCTATTGTGTGCACTAAATACATTGATGCAGTTGAACAGCTTAGGACAGTTCCTGGCATACAGTAAGAACTCAGGCATGAGCTGTTGGTATTGCTACTATTTTTATGCTTGAAGAAAATGTTCTGAGGTTACACTGCATTCTATTCCACAATGGAGTTAATGTCTTATGATATGAGATATGAATTTCCATAATAAATAATTTTCAACTTTCAAGTGACATTAGGTAGCTTATTTGTGTCTGAATATAAAGAAATGGCTTCCTCAGTGACAAAATAACAAGTGCTTTATATGCATTGTTGTTCTGTTTTTCTTTCTTTTAGAAATTATTGTGTCTTGTGGTTAGAGTTTCAAAGTTTTTTTTCAATTATACATTATTTCTACTGCTGTTGCATCAGCAGATACTCCTACACAGAGAAGCTTCTACCACTTAAACGTAGCATGGTAACACTTTTTTTTTAAAAGAGAAAATGATGCCAGCAGCTGGTTCATTTCATTTAGAATCAGAACACATCAGTATATGTATGCCAGGCCCTAGAACAATCCTGCATATCACATATGCTGGCATTGCTCCATTAATAACACTTGAACAAATAAATTTCAAGTTCAAGTTTTCTCCCCAAATAACACAGGTCACATTTCCCCAATACCTGGCGAATGAAGTTTGGTGGTTGAAGCTGCTGCTCTCTTCGGAGATGAAACAGCAGGTTTATTAGCATCTTGATCTTTCTGTAGTTCTTTCTTTGTTCCTATATATAGTTAAAAAAAAGAAACAGAAAGAAAGCAAACTAGTTACAACTGGAACAGTAACACAAGCTGTTTGTGGAAAGGGATGTTTAACAAAAGGCAAACGGAGCAAAGTCATATTTCGATGATTTGCTGCTGTGGTCACACCCCCTGTGCTTCAGGGACGACACACTTGTTTACAGCAAAGGGAATTCAACTGGAGGGGTCAGGGGACTAAGCACACTGCTGTCTCTGATTTGATGAAAAAATCCGTATCTTGGGAGGTCGTAGCACTCCAATGACCCTGACGAACTATGTGGCAATTAATATTGTCCTGTCCTTAGCCACCAACATGCCCTGACTGCCTCTTTCTGCAGAAAGTAATTTTCAGAAGACTGAGAAGGAAGCTGTCGCTGAAGTAACTACTGATGACTTCAGCATCATCGAGGACCCAGCCATGGGGGCCGTGGCCTGCCTCGAAATAATTTCCATGCAGCTGGTCCACACAGGTGACCTGCGAAGCCTCTGCGCTCTCTCTGCGGCAGCTGAGTCTGTGTGGAACCAGAGCTGGTCCCAGCAGAATAGGGTGTGGGTGATATCTCAACAGCAAGTGGCATCTAAGAACAGCTCCTTAATCATGTCCGGGGCACGTGGAACCTTTCTGCCTGTGTGCTGGGCATGGACACTCACCTTCACGTCACCTTCATCAGAAAGTCAAAGAACAATGGATGGGAAATTAGAGAAATAACACAGACCTGGATGGACCTAGACCTGCCTCTACTCTAGCAGTTTATTATGTCATTTCCAAACCAAACCTTGGTGATGGTTCCTTAGATGCTGAGCTCTAACCTCCAACTTCCCCCGAGCTCTAGCGGTAACCACTGCTGGCAATGTGGTGATTGTTCTTCCAGATCTCTTTCTAGGTATTTATGAATATATCTACACATATACAAACACAGTTATTAATTAAGTAAATGAATCACATACTGTAATTTTTTTTACCTACCCACAATTTTTAAAGATCTTTTTCATATCATTTATTTATAGATCTTTTAAAATGTCACATTGCATTAATGGGGAAAGATGTACCGTAATTCATTTACCTATCTCTTATTGCTGAAAATTTATATTATTAACAAGTGTTGGCTATTAAAATGGCTGAATGTGCTACAATAAACATTCTTCTACTTGTTTCTTTGCACCCGGGTACCAGTGTCTTTCCAGGACAAATGCATAGCAGTGCCTTTGCTCATTTACAAAACTGCGAGATGCAGTCAACTGTCCTCTACAGGACCTCGTCCACACTCCAACCAAGAGTGTGTGAGAGCAGCTCTTTCCCAGCTGACACGGAAGTCTCAACACTTAACTTTTGCCAGATATTTAGAGTATCTTCATGTCTGTCGTGCGCATTTTCTTATTTGAAAATTGTCTAATAAAACTTTTGCCCATTTTTCTTGCACTTTCCATACTTCCACTTCCAAAAACTTATTTATAGTATCTTTTACTGGACTGCTGTTTTATACAGTTTTAATGTGTTCAAATATGTTAATTTTCCCTGTCCAGTTTTAAAAGCACTATTATAGGTTATTTGTATGTCTGTGTGCATGCAGGTGTTTGTGTGTGTGTGTGTGTGTGTGTGTGTGTGTGTGTGTGAGAGAGAGAGAGAGAGGGAGAGAGAGAGAGAGAGGGAGAGAGAAAGCTAAGTCTTGTTCTCTTAGTACCAGGTCAGGGTTCAAAGAAAGAGAGAGCACAG